ATAACGTTAGAATCAAATAAAACACGTAAGACTAAGAGCAGAGACACGCCCACTCACATGTAAACAAACTTTTTAGCCACATTAAAAATGGCCGCCAACAAACTCAAATGTGTCCGTGTCACATAACCTCGTACGGACTCTAGTTTAAAAGGGGGTAACTCTATGGGGCAACTCCAGACAAAGTGAGCAACTGAAGAATTTAACTCACTTGTCTAAGCGCAGCGACGACACCACATCACACACACATACCCCCCCCCACACACACACACACACACACACACACACACACACACACACACACACACACACACAAACACATACACACTCAAACGCACACACAGACACACACATTCGGTCAAAAAAGGATTGGACCCACAATTAAAACATGACAACAATGACCAATGCCATGTATTCATAGATTCTAAACTTTCTTCGCTACATGACCTGCAATCCAGGGTACATAACAAACAGTGGACTTTATACATGTTTTTATTATGTTAGCCGCTGATTGACTTTATATGGTGCATTTGTTAGCACTCTTTAAAAAAAATCTAGTGGTATTTTTACTCCCCTATCAACACAATGGAGACCATTTAGGAGGCGGGCTTCGACCCTCCTTGTCAGGGCCAACCCGGACCATGAGGTATACAACACCCTAATAAAAAAGACAGAGATACTAAATGAAAGTTCCCCCATACACGGGAATCAAACTCGAGTCTCCTGCATGCAATAGCAAAGTGCGTAAAGCTGTCACACCACAGACGCCGGTATTCAATAGGCAAGCGGGTCTCCCCGGTTTAAACAACAACAACAAAAAAGAAAGAAAGAACAGAAAAAGCTGACAAAAAGAGTGCCTGTCATCAACAGCTGTGTTAACATACCATAGAAATTACATAACAGATCCTTAGCGTGTCATGCAGCTTTTCAAAGGCATTGATATTGTCCATGATTTTTGTTGTTTTTTTGGGGTTTCCTGAACGTTGAGAGTGTCGTTAGCTGGACACGCCCCATGTCTTTGTAAGCATCGAGTGTTTGTTTCTTTTCCATGGACGTGCTTAAGCACCATGACGTGATAGTGGCGGTAACAAACTTGAAGTGGGTGTCAAAGTTAATCAAAGTCTCACTTTCGTCAAAAGCTCTCGCCTGCTATATTGTTTGTCGCGAATATTACCATACCCGAGAGGTTCTCCATTTTGGATACAACATATTACTCTGCAGCCCAGCAGGCGTAAACGACGTCAACGATATTTGGGATCCCGCTTTTTTGTCGACAAAAATAGATCTTTTCCCCGCCGACACTTAATCATATCAAGATACATCATTGTGCTTTTGCAGTTTTAGTTTTTTATCCCTCCATCTTTCAGAACGTGTATTTCTATGCTGCCATCATAGCACTTTTGCCACTTAAAAATACATAATTAATCATTTCGACACAGCTTTTAACATCTTCGGTTGACATCAATCTAATGCTTCTTTGCGTTTCGATCTTCTCTGCTTTTCCTTCGGTAAACCCTGAGATGGGAATCGTTTGTCAAGATATGTCTTTACGAATGTATGAACGTGCGTGTGTTTGTCTGTGTGAGTGTGTCACAGAGTAAAAGGAAGAGAGAGA